TTAGTATATACGTTTTTTATTATTCTAATGTATTTTTGTTAGACTTCTTGGTTCTTTAGATATTTTCGTGTTCAATTGAGTCAAATGCCTTGTTGTAGTCGATAAAACAGCAATAGAATGACACATTAAATTCCTTGTTCTTCTCGATAATTTGTCTCACTGTATGTATATGGTCCAATGTCGAATAGCCAGCTCTAAAGCCGGTTTTCGTCTAAAGTGCTAGTTATTCGGGCTAAAATTACTTTGGCAAAGATTTTATAAACATTGGACATTAGACTAATGGGTCTATAGTTATTTATTTCGGTCTTGTTACCCTTTTTGTGGAGCAGGATGAAGGTTGATGCAGTCCACTGTGACGGAACGGTTTCGGTATTTAATATGTCATTGAAAATATATGTGAGTAGTGGTGCAACGTAGTTTCTGCAACTTAAAAGCAATTCATTACTGATTTTTTTTTTGTTGTTTCAAATTAGTATTTTACTCATACTTGTAATTATTATTGAGTTATCGTACACTTATTGTCTTTTTTAAACACGCTGTAAGCACCTTTAAATGGAAACATGTAGGATTGCTATATTGAACATAAAGGTACCCTTATGTTCAGCAATCCTTTCTGATATGGCAATTTGCCTGCAATAAAGTTTATGAGTGTTTTTCTTACTTGGAATCCGACTCCGTGTCTTCCTGGTGTTTCGCCTTTGTGGTACAGAATGAATTGGTCATGCTCTTCAATAGCTTCTCCGTATCTTCTTACTTCGCTCAAGCCGATAATATCCAATTTTATATGTCGTATAGAGTATAGAAGTTCTTGTAGGCTTTCTTCAGTCCTTTGAGAGAGTGTATTGTATGTTGCTATATATAGGTTTTCCGTATTTTTCTGTTTCGTTCTAGACGCAATAGTTTGAGATAAAGGGATAGTATTTGGAGGGTAGTGGTCATCTTCCCCCACGGTGACCGGTCGTCTTGGGGTGAATGTGTAGGTTGTTTTGTTGGGTGTATAATTTTTGTTGGTTGGTTTCGGTTTTCCGTTGTCGATGTCTATTGATCGTTTTTTGTAGTCGAGGGTGTTGACAGTGACGCGGATCTGCCCCGCACCATATAATTAAGCATATCATTTGTCTTGTTAATCTTTTTTGGGGCCAACGTGGGTTGTTTATTTGGTGAAGTGCTGCAGTCTCTTTTCCTCTTCTCTCTTTCTATCTCTCTTTCCAGTCTCTTTTCATCTCTGTTTCTTTGCTGAGATCTTCTTTGATGTATATTCCTTGGTCCAGTTTCTTTGTATTTTTGAGGATTTCAATTTTTCTCCAGTTTGTTGTAAACGTTACAAGGATAGGGCGAGGTTTGTTACCTTTTTTTCCCCCTAGTCGGTAGGCGTTATTTTTTCTTGGGGGTTTATATGAATGTTCAAATTTTTTCTAGCAGTTTTATTATCGATGCGATGGGGGACTCGTTGTTCAGGTCTTCTTTCATACCAATGAAAATTACTAACTTATTTATTAATACTAGCGGCATGTGGGATATACTAGGGGGATACTAGGGGACCGGACAGACGTTGTCCTGTACACAGGTCAACGTCGACGTCAATGACTTAAATTCGACAAAAAAGAAATTAAAAAAAAATTGTAGTGGACCGAATTGTGAATCTAAACCATTCTTGAATCGACCTGAAGACCCACAAAAAATTCATTAAAATCGGTCCAGCCGTTTAGGAGGATATATACATAACGATATAAAAATAAAGAGTTTGTTACCACTAACTGGTTTTAAATTTTATTACTTACTGTAATCGTAATATGTCTAAAATATTATCGGGGTTCAAGTATTTGCTGCATATACACGCTTGCGTATAAGTGTACTAAGTTCAGGAAATTCGTTAGAAAACAGCTTTTGAAAATACATTCTGAGTACGGTAGTTTAATATTTTATTCTCTAAGCCTACTTAACTCTCTCTTTCCTCTTAGCTACTTGATCCAATCTAAATAATTGTGTGCGTGTAAAACAAAGAAACAAAACATACCAATATTTACAAAGAACGTGCACAGTTTAACTTATCTCTTATCCTTTAAACGAGCAATATATATATATATATATATATATATATATATATTGTTAGGAAATAGAAACGATGATTGATTTTTTGAAGAATTTGGTGGCCTGTAGGCCAAACTACATAGAAGTTTGACTATAATTCTAAGTAACCGACACAATCGTTATTAATTCGGCATTTAGGCCGTAGCAGTGTGCTACTTACCCTCCTACCTTCTAACACAGGCCGTGTTCCCTCCTGACGACTGGTCGTCCTCGACCCTGGAGTGGTAGTCAGCATTGTCTGGAACCAAGCGGGGTTATCGACGGGGGCTTGAGGCATTTTATCGAATATCACACCTCTTTCAAAATATCTGACTAGCGAGTCGAACGCTACAGTTTGTATAGTGACTTTAGCAGTTGGTAACACATGTAACTGTCAACATGATGTACGACTGGATATTAAATACACATGACTAACAGGCTAACGCCAATATGACTTAGCACAGCGCCAGACTGGCTCCAATGACTTTACATAACGCTAGAATTACTTGAACGCTCGTGGTAACGTATTCGTTAATAAAAGGCGGCTTGGCAGCATATCAGCGCCTGTGTTCGACTAGCGAGTCTACTCACTACGAACAAAATAAACCAGCGACTTGACATTAAGTCAACGCCAATGTTCGACTAGCGAGACTACTCACTACGAACAAAATAAAACAGCGACTTGACTTTAAGTCAACGCCTATGTTCGACTAGCGAGACTACTCACTACGAACAAAATAAAACAGGGAATTGACATTACGTCAACGCTCATGTTAGACTAGCGAGACTACCCACTACGAACAAAATAAAACAGCGACTTGACATTAAGTCAACACCCATGTTCGACTAGCGAGACAACTCACTACGAACAAAATAAAATAGCGACTTGACAATAAGTTAACGCCCATGTTCGACTAGCGAGACTACTCACCACGAACAAAACACTCAGTAGCGAAGAATGCAGCACTCAGACGTCCACTCTCCGTGCCATAGCACAGTGTGTTTCGCAGCCGCGTAGTCTAGCCACGGGCTCTGACAACGAGTTTCAGCTCATAACGATCCCTGCATACCACCCGAACTATCCGGTACGGCCCACGCATACCTGGATCAAGTTTTCCCTGCAACCAGATCTGATTCAGCCTAATTTTCAGCCAGCCGCTCGGCCGTCCTTTGTCTTTGAATCTCCCTTAAATACTCATAAAGCTACGCCACTAAGAAAATTGTTAGTATGCGATTGAATGTACGTACTTTAGGGTACTCTATTAGCGGTTAAGTATTTCAATAGATAGAAGTCACTATAGAGCAACTACACAAACTTTTCTTCGTTCTTATTTTTTTGAAGGGTATAATTTCCAAATACACAGGCTTTTAATGATTAGAATACCTAGCACGGTTCACCTCCTCGGACCAGGGCTCTATGTCATCAACAAGTCTGGTTAGATCTCACCCGGTATATTGATGGATCGTATCGCAACGATAATGCGATCAACCGCACTGAAGTGGTCCACCGCGGCACTCCGGAACGCTCCGTTGAAGACGGGGTCACTGAAGTCAGCCTGCCATGCTCGCCTTTGAAGCGCGCTCGATGGCGGTGGCGTCAGCGTCGTAGACTCTGCCACCGTCGCGGCCTCGGCACCGACGGCTAGCACAGTCGCTGCAGACTGCCACAGCGGAAGCACAGCCACTCGGCTTCCTTCTTTGTAACGAGGCCGGAAGCTGTTGTTCCGCCAGTGATGTTAATCTATTAAAAATTTGTTGCATTGTTTCGATTAAAACATTGCTAGAAGGGCTGAGTCATTCGTGACGCGTATTACGTTGTCTAGAATTTGAACTGTTGGTTACTCGAACGTCATTTACTTTCTCTCTTTTTATGAGGCATAACTTTCAACAGATAATCTCAAATAAGGTGTATTTCGAATCAAAGTATCAATAAATTTGCCAAACAAATTACAAAAACTGACAAAACAAAATGGAACCTGAAGGTAAAGATATTTCAAAATGTATTCACAAATAAAACTTCTATTCCCGGTTTATTTATAAAACTGGAACGTACTCACCAAACCTGTCGTTTACACTTAACCAAAAGATAATTCCACCATTACTTTATTACCACCATTTACGAACCAATATATTTTCGACATTTTTTTTTTCATTGGGTAGGCACCCATTGTATGAAAACTCAAAAATGATTTATATCAGGATGTAGATGTGTGTTAAGAACGTAAGTTTTCGAATCCCACTTCTGATGTTAGGAAATAGAAACGATGATTGATTTTTTAAAAAGAATTTGGTGGCCTGTAGGCCAAACTACATAGAAGTTTGACTATAATTCTAAGTAACCGACACAAACGTTATTAATTCGAGTAGAGCTTCCGCACTGTACAACGGCTGACGAAAAAGTCTATTGACACGACGAGCGCTGCTCCGTTTATAGGCCGTAGCAGTGTGCTACTACCCTCCTATCTCCGAAACATACGGCCGTGGTTCGTGTCACGATCATTTACACTCTTTTTTTTACTTTTTTTTCGATTCCAGATCATTGCTTTCTTTATTTTTTATTTTTTGTTGATCCAGATGATTTTGTTATTTTCTTCCCTTTTTTTTAAAGTTGTTTCTTTTGTGAAAAACACCACTTCATATTTTCTTATTATTAGGCCGGTAAGATCGAAAAACATTATGCATATTTCATTACTCAGTAATTTGTATCTAAACGTAATTTCCAAAATACACGATTTAAAAAAGGAAAACAACAATAAACCGAGCAAAGCTCGGTCCTCCAGGTACTGTTAATTAATATCAGTTGTTGGGTGAAAATAATGAACCGTTGCAAAATAAAAATGTATAATTGGGGTTGTGCAACTTTTGTTTAAACTTTGAATTCAAATTTGGAATGAGGTTAAATATATTATGTATGTCTTGAATGACGAAAAATGGGTCGAGGTATCGAGCGCGTGGAAGGGCGTCGCGTGGCGGCGTTTGGTGAGCAGGTCGCTGCCCTCTGTAATGGCGTTACCCTGCAATCACACCTGCAATATATAATTGTATTCTAAAAATAGATCGTAATCGATTACTGGTCTAAATATATAGCTGAAGACTTGTAGTGAATTTATAACGAAGTATGTTTCCCATGTTTTGTAAATGTAAACAAGTTGTAATGAATTTTGCCTTTCATTGCATATCAAATGATAACAATCATATTTTAATTGATCTTTTAGAATTTTAATTTGGGGAGTATTTTGAAAAGTAAAATGCAAAAGTTCAATATGTATGTGCTTGATAGTATTTTTTTCACATTTTTTCCCGTTTTTACCTTTGGACTCGATTGTTAGATAGTTTAAATCATTCCTGGTAACTGATCTTTTATTGTCGTTTAAGGGGTTTTTTATAAGTATTTTAGATATATTCGAGGGTTTTCAATAAAATCGGGGTCCTAATTTTTGTACATTTTAAGTGAGCAAGAAATAAACATGAAAAATAACGTCGGTAAGAGAAAATATTCCCAAAAAGGGGTTTTATAAAGCATATTTTTCTTAATTACATTTGTTTTGTTCTGTGGTAGGGCCACGCAGCAGCTTTGGCTGTTGCAGGAATAGGCATGTTCGTCCGGGGAAGTACCACGGCCTCACAGAAGACCGACGTGAAGAGCAATGGGCCCACTTTAAAATACAGGCAACGCATCTTTAACACCTGAAGGGTTGCAGATACGTTGATATTAAAAAGTGGGCGGTTTCTGTGAAGTCCATCGGCGGCGGTAATCACTTAACATTTGGTGAACCGTCTGCTCGTTTGTCAACTTTAACGTAAAAAAAAACGAAATATGATTGATGTTTCTATTTATCATCCGGTCATACGGCTTAACGAGGGCATCCGTACCGTCTACCGGGTTTTATTAAACTAATATCGTTTCGGCCCAACTTTCTCACACCGATCGATACGGTGGCCCGAATCTAGTAAAGTAGAGGATACCTTACTCATATATACATTAGTTTTAGGGTTATTGAAAGCTGTATCGAATTGAATGCCGTGGCGATTTAACAGGTCCATTAATATTACTAAAAGTATACATTCAATAAAGGTTTTTCGAGTGTGTCATTCATAGGTATCACTCAGTCTCCTATCGGAATGTGAAGTAACGAAATTAAGTATTTTTGAGTTCGCTGTCTTTCGCTTGTGCGTGTTATCTCTTTTGCCTTTAGATCTATGACATAATCTTTTTATGCACGATTTACTTTGCGAATACGCTACGCTAGTAGTTTCCTGAACTTTTCTCGCTGCGTTGTCGTTATCTGAATTGACATTATTAGCGTCGATAAGTGGCCCTGGCGCTCGTACTTGCATCTGATAAAGGAATCAAGAGCCCATCGTGTTCCTAGAGCTTCAAGCTAATGTGATGACATGACTCACTCGAAAAACCTTAATTGAATGTATAATTTTAGTAAAGATATATCTGACTTATTAATTTTGATAGAAATATTTACTCAAATTCAGTCTCGTGTCCTCTATTCACCGGATCATAGATGAGTGTTGAAACTCTACGAGTATGGAGTTCCACGTTATCATTAAAATAGTACTTAGTTGTTTCACAGTTATTTTATAACTGTAACAATATTGCGGAAATGATTCTTCCAGTAAATAGTTTGCCTACCATTTAGGTATGTATTTTTTGTCCAAATTTAAAATCAAGTCAAGGTCCTTTTCATATGCCAACGGAATCTCATCAAACTATTTTTTTGTCAATAATTCATTACTTTTGCTAGAAGAGTTACTACAAGTAATTATCAAGGATATCAATAAAGTTTATATTAAAAAATAATACTTAATCTTATGTATATCATAAAACGTACGATTTATTTCACAAAAATAATTAGGGTTCCTCGCAAAAAAACATGAAAACCCATGAAACGTCTACATCTGTAGCTAAACTATATTGATAGGTAGTTTAGACAAATTAGTACGCTTACTTTTTACATTATTGATATTTATTAATAGTAACAATTGAGAATATCAGAAATAAAATCACGAGATATTAGGAAAAACTGAATGTTTTTAGTTTAAACAATATAAAATGTATAAATAATATTTATTTTGTTCCAGGTACGGAAATCGGTTTTCGAACGAGACTACCATTATCTAACCTTTTTTCACTTTATTACAACCCCATGAAAGTTTACCTGGTAAACTAATTTAGCGTTCGTGGCGTGAATAGACATTACAAAGTGTACAAAGGTGTGTAGGGTTCGTGACTGTACGAAGTGGTTTGAAGATTATAATTGTGCTAATAAAACAGTTTTACGGACAAGGCAGTTGTGATGTCGACTTGCGTGCTCGAGGAGGGGCACGATGAAAGCGACGGCGACAGTGGCAGGAGCGAGGAAGATTTGACCGTTGAAGTGTTGCCGGAAAGGCCGCGGCGCGAAGTTCTTGTCAGTGCTCGCGGAAGACGCGCGTGCTCAGAGCAGGGTCCACACCCGTCCCAGCTTTATATGCGTAAGTCCACTCTGCGTAACACACGTATTAGTAGTATTCTTATATAACTCCCGTCGCACGAATAGGCCAGCTTGAGAAATATCGCGGCCTCGTGGAAGGTTCATGTAAATTAAAAGTATCGGCTGTATATGTCTTTATTTTTAAATAATGTATATATATATATATATATATATATATATATATATATATATATATATATATATATATATATAACATAAGCAATAACCGAGTTATTTCTAGTGGAGGAAAATAATAAAATATACAGGAGCAAGGATAGCTATTTGTTATAGATCAAACAAAAATTAAAAAGCCATCGTTAGTGATATGATTACTTTTCTTGATAGCTCAATTAAAGGATACTTTCCAACATATTGTAGTAAGATAGGAACACAGAAAAAAGAATATTATCGTTCTAATTTACCGAAGAGATCAATAGGTTTTAAGTAAACTATTCCAGAGGTTTATAGTAAAGCTTTAAAAGCTCAGGGCAAACAAGCCTACGTAATTCTTCTTAATCGTAACTATTTAATGACCTTCTAGGGGATTTTTGCTACGGTTTATCATAGAATATGATGAAAAAAAGCTGGGATCATTCATAAAACTTCATCTTTGAGAAAAATCCGAGGAACCCTCTTTCTTACTTTTCGGTTTTTATTCTCCTCGGTCAAATTGTGTGGGTCGCGAGCATAGCTTTCTCACACCCAAATGTTTGTGTAGGATTGATTGTATTTGACTAATGCCTATGTCTAAGGATGCCCGAATTTCATGGTAGCTCATATGCCTGTCTGTTTCGATCATACGGCGCACAGCATCGATGTTTTTGTTGTTCACAGTGATGGACGGGCAACTATCGCGAGATTAGTTACTGATATTGGCACGAACGCGCTTGAATTCCGCAAATCAGCTATAAATACTTGTCTGACATGGTGCTTCATCGCCAAAAACCGAGAGCCAGATTGAAGTCGAGCGAGGCACTGCTAAACTGTTAAACTACACTTAAAATCGTAGAAAATCATACTATGAAAATTGTCCTCAGTTAAATCCATGATAATGTAGACTCACAATTTTATAAATGGTGCCACAATGTAAAAACAATCGACAGTCAGAGGAAACAAACTGTATTCTTCAGCCAAAGAGTTCCATTTTCAAATGTTGTAATTAATTTTTAAATAGTGTTTATAAGTGGCCAGTTCTTTTAGTGTGACCTGTGTATAATTTATACTTTCTCGATTTCCCAATGACGATGGTAGGAGTTAATTAATTGGAACCCACCCCTACTTGAAGTTCTTGTTTTGTTCCTTGATGATTGTGCTTTCAGCCCGTAGACTATATAAAGCTTCATTTTTTTTAAATTTATTTATTAACATAGTAAATACAATTGGTTCAAAAAAACATTAAGTTCGCCAAACTGAGAATACAGTTTATTAGCGAAACTGTATACGGTACTGTATTACGGTTTACAGTTGCATTGTAATACTTCTCTAAAATAAATTTTAAAACAAAACATATTAGTAAACATATAAAGTATCAAACACATACTTGAAGTTTTGGATCTTCCCTCGTAAAAGCGTTCGGACGATTAGCTACCACGATATATTTGTGAATGATGTTATTATTAAATATATAAAAAAAAAATTGAATTATTTATATTGCGAATTTTCATAGCTGTAATTTATAACGCACACGATTCATTACCCGGACGCAGACCGTGCAATAACTCTCTCAGCAAATTGATATAATTATATTTAATTTCAACGTTTTAAATGCCATTTTGGTAACAAATTTAAAAATGTAAATGTTAAATATAATTCCGTAAATTAAATTTTATATTGTATAACAGTATATTTGCTTTTTTTTATTAAATTTCATGTAACGCGTTTCTTTGTAAAATATTACATTTTAAAAACTCCGTCTGCTCTCTCGTTATAAGAGGTCTTTTAGAATTTAGAAAAGTTGATTTGCATGTTAAAAGGCAATGAATAGACAGGCGTGTGGATCAATATACCGTAAAGGCTGACATGCTTGACAATTTTGCAAAGTATTTTTTATGTTATTATGACAATTTTAATGATCGCTGCTTATTTTTTTCTGACTAGGTAAGTCAGTATATACTTTTAACTTCATTTTTTATTTTTTTTAAAGTGAAACTTATCAAACTAGTCCACGGTCACTTAGAACACCAGAGAACTTGCAGATGCGTTGATAACCTTTAAAATAAGTGGGTCCTGGCTACCCCGCTCACCAGACGAAACGCGAAAGTGTTATACTTCCACTTCACACCGGTCTTCTTTTAGGCCGTGGTACTTCCCTGGCCTTTCATGCAATAGCCACACAGCTATATAAATTATTCGAACATATCACATTTTAATATTTATACAATTTTTACAATAAAGACTAAGTTTTTATTTATTTAAATCATCCGGGGTAATTTATAATCCTTGAGTTTGAAGTAATTATAAAGTATAAGAAAGAAAAAGAGAAACACATTAAATACAAAAGACAAAATAATAATTTTTTTGCATAATATGTGTGCGTGTATGAAACACACAAATTTTCGATATATCCCACAAGCAATTGCGAAGCATCGGAGAGCCCGTAATTTGTAGAACCCTTAGACTCGGGGCATTCACGTAAAACCCGCTGATAACATTAATATACTTTCGATTACGCAATATTTACTTGTGTATTCGGTAAATGAAATATCTGCGGTTCCAATCTTAGCGGCTTTATTCATCATCTATGAGGACTAACAATTTTCCCTTAGGATATTTCTAACATATCCGCTACTAATGCGAAAGTAGATGGATTATGTTGTATTACAATATGATGTATGAGTAATTATAATTGTAATTGAGTTACCTTTACTTTTACTTTACGTTACTCGTTTAACATTTGATCATGTAGTATATGTGTGCGTAATAAGAGTGAAATTTATACATTATTTGTGAGTGTATAAATATGAGTTGTCCTGTGTCATTTAAATTGTCTACATCATTACATTATATCAATTGCTCAAATTTGTGTATTCAGTAAAAAAATTCAGCAGAAACCCGAAAAAAACCTTCTTGTACCTTTCAACTGTTATGTTGATTCAGAAATAACTAAAGTATTATTTTTTAAGGTGTAAGGCTATGAAATACAACCATTAAAAAGATATAAAAGTGTATATATCACACCCTTTTATACACTACCTAAAAATAATATAAGTTATTATGCCATAAATTACTATAAAACATTAACTCAGTTTTGGAGTGTTTAATACTGTAATTGTTGTATTTTATTTTAAATATAAAAGTTATTTGTTATTCGTTATTTCCTACATGAAAAAAAAAACACGTACTATGGACCAATGTCATTTGTTATCATGCAAACTGTTCCTCATAATCGATAGTGAGAAATCTATATATATAAAAATGAATTACTGTTCGTGAGTCTCGCTAAAACTCGAGAACGGCTGGACCGATTTGGCTAATTTTGGTTTTGAGATATTTGTGGCAGTCCAGGGAAGGTTTAAACGATGAGATATTATGGAAAATTGCATGGGAAATCGAAATAGCAACAATGTTATTGTTTTGTGGAGTGACGGCGTTTCTACAATATTTTAATGGTTTGGAGTGGTAATGGAGGTTTTACGATGTAAAAATAACTAACTGACATTATAAATTTGTTTCCGATAGATGGCTCACCCCATCTGTGGGGTACCAATAGCAGTCGACGGGGTTGGAGTAGAAAAAGGACTTCGGCCCCCCAAATGGGAAACACTCAAGGTTCGATGCCGCGTGTTGCGCTGGTGCTGCGGTCGCGTCGCAGTTGGCCTGTCGCACCGCAATCATACCGCAGGTGAGTTTTTCTATGTATTTTTTTTAAAACTACGCTAGTGGTAAGAATGTACCCAGTTATTTGCATTTTTAAAACAATTCAATTAACTCATCAAGCAACTTTTAGCTCATCAATGCCAAGGTTACATGTTCGACCATTTTCTTTACTTTTGTCTAAGCAATGTTACATTAGTGCTTGACATTTAAAAAAATAATTAATACTTTAACGTGTTTCCGAAAATTAAAAATAAATCTAAGCTAGAGGTAAATTGTTAAGAAACTAGGGCGTAATCAAGTAGTTTTTTGACTGGGATATTTTATGATTGTAAAATAACTATGTCCGCTCATGGCGAGCCTGAAATTATTGTTGTATTGCAATTTAATACTTTTTGCGTTACAATTAGTACACTTTTTTATGTGATAAAGTGGTAAACGAGCTAGCGGATCACCTGGTGTTAAGTGATAACCACCGCCCATGTAATTTTGCAACACCCATAGGGTTGAAAATGCGTTGCTACCTTTAAATAAAGTGCGCCCGGCTACCTCACTCACCGGACGACTTTACTTGACGCCGGTCTTCTGTGACGTCGTGGTACTAACCCGGACGGACCTGCCCATTCTTGCAACAGTGAACACCGTTGCGGTGGTCCTACCACAGTTCACCTACCTTTTTTATAAGTATTAATAAATATTTTTTTTATAAAACAGATTAAACCTGCCTCAGTTTAAAATATAAGATATTAAATTGTTTGCGATGAAGGATGTCGAATTATTTTGTCTGATGTATAAATTTCATAAAAGGGGGATGTTGACTGACATCTCACCATTCAGCTCTAATTAAAATAGAGGTCTGCTTAAATTGACGATAAATAATGACTGTTTAACACGAATCTGGGGGTTTAATTAAGCTAAAGTTTCAGAATTTATTTCAGTATAATGGCTAATGGTAACTGCTTTACGGTTTTATCATTTTCAATTTTATAGGTCTAATGTTTAGAAAGCTTTGAAGCATATATTGTCAAAAGGTAAACGTAAGTGAGTTTGCAAAGTCATGCATAGGTTGCAATGTTCATTTTTCTTGTGGGAAAGAGGAGTTGTAACCCACAACTGTGTGGAACCCACCACCGTCGGAGCTTGACTGAGCTCATAGGAACGTCACAAACATTCCGACATATCGACAAACAAGCCCATAAGTTGTATTACGTAGAACATGGCAAGCAGCCTTGCGTATCTTCTACGCTGCGCGTGTAAGCTTCTAATATACGTAGCTATCACGTTGTGGCAGACTCTGTACGAAGCACGTAGCAAGCTTCTGTGCGTAGTTTCTACGTAACACGTGGCAATCTCTTGTATTTCTACATAGCATCTAGCACCTCTGTCTGTAATTACAAATACTAAATTCAATACAAAGACTTGAAGACTAAATTCAGCCTGTAAGAAGCAGACGCCGAAAGCAGTGAATTAAAAAAAATAAAATAACAAATGTGATTTACGAATACGGCGGCTCTGCAAAAGTGTTAACAATCAAAATTGCGTGATGTGACGAAACGACCGACGCTCATCGCTTCAACTCCGTGTGTTGGAAGGTGATGAAACGCTTGTGGGGTGGGAAGCGAGTTCGCCAAGCAACACGCTATAGGACTGGAATAAACAACAAAAACATAAAAATCAGTGAAGTAATTAATGGATATTACAAAATTAATTTCTAAACATGCATAATTTATGTTAACAAATTAAATTAAGGTGTGATAATATAATTTAACTTAAAAACGTTCCGCTTACATCATTCTTATAAACACACAGCTTAAAAGTCATTTACAGGGGAAAATATAAAACACTCACGGGATGGCAAAGATCTGTGCAGGTGTCCGTGACGTTACGAAAAATGTAAATCACCATCTTCCTATAATGGATTAAACGAAGTAACGCCAGATGCTATAAACATTGTTTAATAAACATGACGTGATCATGATGTAAACACCAACGACGGGGACAATATTGCACTAGGAAATCTAATAAAAGGCAAGCAACTTTGTCCGCTGGAGGTCTGCTCAGAAAGATAAACTGCTGTGGTGTCGCAGTGCCGGCTTATCTGATTTTATTACATTAAAGCGTCGGCTTTGCTTAAACCGTGATTTGTAATAACTTAATTCCATTTATATTTGTATCGACGCGATATTCTTTCTGGTTATAATTACGTTGTAAAACAACATTCTTCTTATAATTGCGATGTTGACGATATTTAATACTAAGCACTCACCTGGTACAGATAAAAGGTGTTTTAATTAAAGCATTTTGCTCGTCTTTCCGAGGTTTTGTAGCAAATACAGTCTTCGAACAGATACTTGGCTGATACACAATTATATATGCACTCAGTAAAGGACAGTTTTCCATTTATTTATGTATGAATGCAATACGAACCTGATTCTGTTAGAATATGTAGTATGAGTAAGATTTATTTTAAATTCTTTACCGTTGTCATAGAATTTCAATTGATGGAAGGTATACCTTTTGGAAAGGTTGTATATATGTGTAATAAACTATGAGATGAGATGAATTCATTGGTATTTAACAACATTACGGAGATACATTCTTAAAAATAAACAATGTGTATTTATTTTGCACTGTATGACTGTACCCAAAACTCTTAAAACGACAGCATGTTTAGTGTTCCTAAAGCCGGCTTTTGTTTATGTATTGATTAAAGTCTGGCTTTATGCCAAAAAATAGGATGTAGGTTATGGTGCCGAAAATTACTCACAGCTGCTCGTAAATAAAAAATATGGAAAACGACTTTACAGTCATTCAGCAAGTTCCTTTATAAAATAGAATATTCTTGAAGATTCGTCATAAATAATCGAAACAGAATCAAAAAAGTCAAGGTCAACCATGATATCAGAAAAGAGAATTACCTTTATTTTTAATTTGCTTATTGTATTTGAAGAAGGATATGAGTACGCTCATGCATTATTCCGTATGCTGAATATATACAAATTAAAAATTTATTTAATGTATCAAAAAATCTGTCAAGTGAGAGTCAGACTCGCGCATGAAGGGTTCCATACCAATCTATAAAAACGGCAAACAAAATCATGTCTGTTGTATTTATCTTGCATAGTTTGAGCCCCGCATAAATAACATACTTTTTATTATGTTTTTTAGTATTTGTTGTTATAGCGGCAATAGAAATACATCATCAGACAGTGATAGTTAGTTACCACGGTTTATGAGATACAGCCTGGTGACAGACGGACAGGCAGACAGACAGCGGAGTCTTAGTAATAGGGACCCGTTTTTCCCTTTGGGTATGGAACCCTAAATATAATTATAATGCATAAAAATCGAAACTTACTTTTTTACCCATAAATTTAAGAGAGAATATTATGTTTTCTTTTTGTAATAATTCTACGTAGAACATAGTAATTTACGTTATTATAACATAGCCTGTTTATTCGTTACTTTCAATTAACTTATATTCTTAGGAAATAACAGTCTTGATTGAATTTAATTCTTCAGATGCTTTACTATTTGTAATTAAATTGTACGTTGAAAGAATTCTAACAATGTGATTTTCAAATAAACTGTGATACATTTTACTTTGTTGGCAATCTTATAAATTGCGTAATACGAAAGCATTTGAGAACTACAGTAACGAATTCTATAGTAATAATATTCTAAAGGTGAATTTTATTGATTTTAGTTTTTGGGTTATGAATTTTATTTTTAACACACGTTTGTCGGCTTGAGTCAGTTTATATTTGGTACCTGGATGACCGAGCTTTGCTCGGTATTTTAAAAAAAAAGTGTGTAAATTATCGTGACACGAACCGCGGCCTTCTGTTTCAGGGCCGCTCGTCTAGCTATTGTAACATTTTTTTTTCGTCTAAATTAACCGTCATATTCGAATGATATTTTTCATTCCCTGAAAACAGGGATAAAATGACATTTTCTAAAAATGAAACCTTGCCAGATCGATTTTTCGCCCCCTAATCTACGCACATACTAAATGTCATGAAAATCGCTGGAGCCGTTTCCGAGATCCCGATTATATATATACAAGAATTGCTCGTTTAAAGGTATAAGATAAGATTCAACATACGACATAAATAGAATTTATTTTTCTGTTGTGCTAATTTGCATTACGACTTGAATTCTATGCATGAAGGTTTATTTGAACTGAAAATATAGAAATGTGTAAGCTGTTTGAATGGAAATGATTTCAAAAAATCAAAGCATAATAATATTACAATGGACATCTACGACTCTAAATAGATTGCATTTCATTATCGTCCTATCGATCCTATAATAATGCTGAATCTATTTGGATAAAGATACTTAAAAGTTCTAAATAGCTTTCCGAAGTCAAAGGCTTTCGCCCGCGAAAATCTAGCATTTTGGCGAAACCTGTGAACGACGAAGCTTTAATAAAACGCTAACTCATCTAAAGATTAAAATGGACATTCTTCCTTTCAGGCTCCTTTGTTATGATACAATAACCTTAGTATTTTATTGTTAATATAAGACAACGAAATATGACTCAGCTATGGCTAAAATGGAAAAGAACATAGCATATTTGCTTCTTTTGAATGGAACGTGTAATAAACTGGAGCGATAATAACACCACTGACATCGATGGTCGAAAATTGTGAACAAGTTATTCATTGTTTTAACATCTTAGCTCAGAGGGAAGTGACAGTACTATTATTATTACATTTTTCTTTCTCTGTTTGTTTTTTGTCTGTATATTAAAATTTAAGTATATGTACTACTAAGAATATAAGTTAATTAAAGAAATATAGAAAGAAAATTAGAACCTTTAGTTTAGATTTTCATTGCTATAAGGAACACATTTATGTAGAATCCGTTAGCCTGCTGTTGACACCAGACTAGAGTAAATGAAGTAATCGAGCGAGATAATTTCTGAAAGACGTCTTTAAAATTAATTAAGTTTAAATTGGAAGTACGATCAAACTGCCATACGATGCGCGTGGATCCGGATAGATTAAAAAAACGCCATTGATTA